GGTGTGAATGGCTCTCTTGAGGTCATGCCACAGCATCTCAATTGGGTTGAGGTCAGGACTCTGACTGGGCCATTCCAGAAGGCCTATTTTCTTCTGTTGAAGCCATTCTGTTGTTGATTTACTTCTGTGCTTTGGGTCGTTGTCCTGTTGCATCAACCATCTTCTGTTGAGCTTCAATTGGTGGACAGATGGCCTTAAGTTCTCCAGCAAAATGTCTTGAGAAACTTGAGACTTAATTTTTCCGTCGATGATGGCAATCTGTCCAGGCCCTGAGGGCCGGGACTCGATTAAAAAAATATATATATATACATATACATACATACACATACACACACAGTTCATAATGCAGAGGGATATAACTCTCAGAATAACGTTATTAGCACATTTTTACAACTTAAGGAACGAATGTTTTTAATAAGGGCTATACAAGTGTTCATACTGGGTAGTTTATTTAATTTAAAAAAAATTATCCAACGAGTTACAGACCACTCTTTCCCCATGTAAGTCAATGGGAAAAAGTGTTTCCGGGCCCAGCAACCTAAAGGAAGTGTAGTACCGCCGTTTGGCCACAACGAATATTCTACTCAGAGTCCGGCGCACTTCCTGGGGGCTTGGCTGAAGCCCGCTAGCATTATTAGCACTAGCACTGCTTCAATTAGTTGCTTGTGTCACCCCCTTTACAAGCAACTAATTGAGTACATAGATTGGACCTTGCACTATCGCCACTACATTTTTTAAAGTGCACCCCGACCTTCGATTACTTCGCTCTGTCCGCCATGCCTGCAGGGGTCTCACAACAATAATAAGAGCGCTGTTGAGAGAGAGGACGAATGGAATTTACAGTGGCCAATCAGAGGGGTCTCAAACCGGATACATCAAACGGGATGAGGGTTCCCAACCAACCAGAATGGTTTAAAGTTAAACTAAGGAAGTAGACGTAACAGATATACCGATAGCAGCACCGTTTGTCCAGCGGCTTAACGGTATACCGATACCGTCCAATCAGGTACCGGTATTGACTTAGTACCGGTTCTCGGTACCCATCCATATAGAGAAGTGAAGCTGTCATCATCAGGCTGTCATGTGTTATAAACTGAGACGTAATAGTACTGTACTGTATCATATTATTTTCGAATCAATAATTTTTCAAATTATGATTTCTTTTTTTCTTTTTTTTAATAACCATTTTTCCTCCTGGTCTCTTGCGCCCCCCACCCCCCTGTCATGCCTCTGCGCCCCACACTTTGGGAACCACTGCTCTACACCAATGATTTCCATGTTTTTACTGCAGTAAATACTGCTAGCCATCATTTTGAGTGAAATCTTAAATACTAACTAACCTGCTCCAAAAGATACGTAACAGTGGCGCATTTTCAGGAAAGTCTCTTAACTAAATAACAAAGAAGAAGACACTGGATGCTTCATAAAATCACCTTATTTTCTAGGAATAGCTAGCTTATTGACAAAGGTAAATAAGCAACATCTCCTTGTCTGAACAACAGCTAAGCATGTTTGTGAAAATTCAATAATTCAGTGTCGATAACTGAGATGTATTAAGATTTTGATGCTAGAAGATGTGAACTCTTAGTACATACTCCTCCCACTGTCCCGTGCTCTTCCTGTACAGCAGCGTGTCCAAGGCGACAGCGTTGGTATCCAAGGCGACAGGAGATGGCCACTGATTGGTCAGGTGGGCTGTCAGCTCTTGTCTGGACCGCAAATCATTGTTTTTCAGCACCGTCCTGAAGACAAAAGCAGGCACAGTTACACACAGGTTATGAACTAAATAAACTTTCAAAATAAAAACAAGGAGAATCATTCAATGAAGGCAGATCAGGCACAAATATAAGACATTAAAAACGGTTTGTCTGGCAGCCACTCGAGGACTTTTTACTGTGTGTATTACTTTTTCTTATCAAATGCATCAAGTAAACAGAAATTCCATTAAAAAAAACAATCAATTTAAGAGTAAATAACACGTAGCTAGAAAAATATATCACCATTACAGAGGGCATGTTACTGAAAAATAAAATGTCCCAAAACATATGTCGATTACAATTATTCATTTACCAAATTGAAGGGCTCCTTGTATTGATAATTTGTAAAGTGTTGGTGTAAAATCAAAGATGAGATTTAGAAAAGATTTCTCCAAATGATCAGATCTTTATTCTACCTGTGAACTCTTGAAAACACTTTACCATCCAAATGTTCTCTCTAATTACTGTCTTCTGACAGTTTCTCAGTTTCTCTGCCTCTCTCTCTCTCTCTGTCAGCACTGCACGTCACTTTGCTCTTTACTCTATTTTCATTTCAAAACATCAACTGACTCATCGCACTGGCTTGAGACTGCAGCTTCATTTTCAGAAATCGTGACACTAATCCATTTAACAGACTCTGTAGCTTGCATTAAATTACTAATAAAACACAGAAAAGGGTTTCTCACTGATTAGAACATTCATTTGAAAGAAACAACACGGATGCAGCTTTTCCTCTTGGCTTAAAGCAACACACAAATACCTAACTGCCTGCAGCCTCCAGGCTTCTTGCTGTGTCCTGAATGTCAAACACACACCTCCATCTCACCATCCCTTAAATGCACTGACACACACACACACCGAGCAGGATGGACTCACAGTTGGTTCTGTAGTTCCAGTATGATGTACTCAAGCTGCTCTTTTTCCAGATTGTGTGTGAGGTGTGTGTCTGCTAGGCTCTGCTGAAGAGCTTTGTTATGAGACACGGCCTTCGACAGCTGGGCTTCTCGGAGACGCACCAGCTCTTCCAGGTAACCCTAAAACACAGAAACACACCCACTTGTTTGGCTAATTCCATTAAGGCACTGCTGTATAAATTCACGTCTGAGTTGGTTTTCGCCTTAAAGCAAACAAAATAACCAGAAGTGATTTCGCCATCGTCTATATTAATTGCTAAGGTGCAGATGTAAGATATATTACAGATGTTGTAAATTAAAGAAATAACATCAAGCTTTCTGTTTGCTTGTAAAAAAAAATCTCTTCACAGAACTCACATTCAACACTTCGAGCCTCTAATGATCATGGACACACACACACACACACACACACACACACACACACACACACACACACACACACACACACACACACACACACACACACACACACACACACACACACACACACACACACACACACACACACACACACTACCTTCTGCTCCAGTGATGTTCGGTACTTCTGCTCAAAGCGTTTGCACTTGCTGACCAAGTTGCTCTGCTCAGTGAAGATGGAGGCGGCAGTGGCCGTTTTGTCGGGGGTGCTGCTCTCGCTGCCACTGCTTCCCAGAGTCCTCATCTCCTCCTCGTCACTGCTGATGCTCTCTGCACTGCAAAGCACATTTCATATTAGTAAACATCCAGCCAACAGTGAATCTGACCCTCGAGACCAAAGCTGAATTATTGAATATTCAAAACATTTCAAATGTACATTTATTCTAAATACCAGTCAAAATGGCTTTGTTTGCCCTTACTATTCTGTACACTGATAATGAACTGTGTGATGGACGTTGTTTGATCTCACGTACTTCTGAGCGAACTTCAGGTACGGCGTGTAGTCGATCACCGCGGGGCAGCTGCCGTCCAGACCCTCTCCTTTCAGACAGAAGCTACAAGACAGGAAATCTGTTATTTTATCAGATTTTTAACCAACTTATCTTGTAAATAACTATTCTGTTGCAATATTTATGATTCAAGAGTAAAGTATAATTAAGTAGGGGAACAAACATCTATTTTTATTTTATATTTGAAATTAATGTCTTTGAATACATCTGTTTTTATTATTTTTCTGTTGATAGGTGTCAGATGATTTTATAAAACATTTACATAATAGCTACTAGATTTGTTTTTCAAATACTTTCAAATCCTTTCTGCATTTTATATTATCAAACATTTGAAATAAAGTGCTATTTAAGAATGATAAAAGCAAGAAATATCAACACTGCAAACACAAATGTCTTTTCTGCATATTCAACATCATTACTACTCATCTCATCGAAGGCACTATTAACAACCTGGAAGTAAATAAAAACATTTGTAACTATTCAGTGAGGCAGATGACTGATTCTACCTGACGTTTATTTTAGAGGATATAGGTTGTAGTGTTCAGAAGATATCCCATTAAGTGCGTTCAGTTTTCCCCTGAGGATCATTGTTCCTCTTTGCTAATGCAGTGTGATAGGCATATGATTTCTCCTTTAAAGCTTTTTGTCTTACACTATCACATAGTTCTGCAACGTTTGCAAGTGATGCACCTGCAGTTCAGGCAGCGACACTCTGGCCCCGTTGCTTCTCTGCTAGTTGCATTATATTGTGTTACTAATATAATTTGCCTGCTACACTTCAGTGAGCTTGAATCACTGCCTGTGTTGTTGAAGCATTAGAAACAATAAAGATTATGGCCTAGGTAAAAAAAACTTGCAGAGAGGACCAGTGGTTCAAAGAAAGCTCTTATCTAAATTGACGGACACACTTATGATGGTGATACATGAAATGACTAGTTCCTCTTCAGTTATACAACATATCATCTAAAACATATTTATATTCCATTTATGAGGAGCAGGTTGTTATTGCACCCACATTATCATTTTTAACCCCGTTAACATGAAAGCCTTTTAATGTGATTGTTACTTTTTAGTCTGGTTGCCACCTATTGTGAACCCGTTGAGTACACCAAATTGTTATGTTACAAATGTATAGTAGGAGCATTGAGATATTGTGTATGTCCTTTTGGTGTCCAAGGAAAACGAACGATTATCCCTGATGTACAACAGGTGCAGCTATGTAAGCATCTCCATGTATGTTCTATTTTTTGTGTCTGCAAAGAAGTATAGTAGGGGTCCCCAGCACATATCATCATTGATAGGAAACTTGATTTCTTATGTTTAACGGAGACATGGCAGAACCAGCAGGATTTCTTTGCTCTCAACCAAGCTACTCCCCCAGGCTACGTTTACCTCCATAAACCTCGCTCCACGGGCCGCGGCGGCGGGCTGGCTGTCATCCACCGAGCAGGCATCCAGGTCAGGGAGATTCCCTCTCCCAATATCACATCATTTGAGTGTATTACATTCTCGCTCTCCGGATCACCTCTACTCCAGGTTGCCCTGATTTACCGCCCCCCCAAAGCTTCCACCACCTTCATGTCCGAGCTGAGTGAGCTTCTGTCCTCTCTCTGCTCTAAATCACCTTCCACCTATCTGCTGGGAGATTTTAACATCCACGTCGACTCCACCAGCTGTAGCTTTGCCGAAGAATTTATGTTACTTCTGGACTGCCTCCACATAACACAGCATGTCCAGGGCCCCACCCACTCCAAAGGTCACACGCTGGATCTAGTCTGCTCCACTGGTGCCCCCCCCTCTCACCTGCATGGCCTAGACCTGGCAGTATCAGACCACCATGCCATCATCTTCACCATCCCCATCCCCCTGCCCAGGCAGCGCCCCAGGCGCACAATCACCTTCAGAGACACCAAATCAGTGAGTGCATCAGCCCTATCAGACCTCCTCATAACCCACATGGCCCCGGCTCTCTCCGACACTTCGCCGGACGTGTTGGTGGCCCGCTACAACCCTTTTAATCCAAGACTGCAAACTAAAATTCTATGCGAAGGTGACCTCATCGAACAACCCGTACTCCTCCACCTCCCACCCCTCCCTTATGTAAAATTGGTCCTTCTTCCAAGAGTGGGGTCGACGACTTGACTATATAGGGAGCAATTTTTTAACTTCTCTAAATATTTCAACTTCATTACATGGCAAACGACATCAAGGAAATATGGGTTGTACATCGATGGAAATCGAAATCGCTACCCACTGCACTTAGTACACGCACGACATCACAGGAAATATCGGTTGTAATCGATGGACATCGAATCCGCTACCACTGCACTTCAGAACACTGACACGACATCAAGAAATATCGGGTTGTAATCGGTGGAATCGAATCGCCAACCAACTACACTTCAGTTACACTGACACGACATAAAGAATATCAGAGGTTGATATGGCGAATCAGAAATACGCCTACCACTACACTTCAGTACACTGTGCCACGACAAGGAAATATCGGTTTGTAATCGGAGGAAATATCGAATCACACACCACTGCACTTTCAGTACACTGGCCGACAAGGAAATATCGGGTTGGGTAATCGGTGGAAATCAGGAATCGTCAACCACTGCACTTCAGTACACTGGCACGACATTACAAGGAAATATCGGGCTGTAATTCGATGGAATCGAATTCGCCACCACTGCACTTCAGTACATGGCACGACATCAAGGAAATAATCGGTTGTTAAATCGGAGGAAATCGAATCGCCACATCTACACTTCAGTAGCACTGGCACGTACATAAGGAATATCGGGTTGTAATTCGGTGGAAATCGAATCGCCACCACCTGCACTTCAGTACACTGACACGACAATCAAGGGAAATTATCGGGTTGTAATCGAGTTGAAATCGAATCGTCACCATTGCACTTCAGTACACTGGCAAAGACATCAAAGGAAAATATCCTGTTGTAATCGGTGGAGAATCGAATCGCCACAACTGCCACTTTCAGTACACTGGCACGACATCAAGAAATATCGGGTTGTAATCGGCGGAAATGAATCGCCACAAGGAAATATGGGGTTGAAATGGTGGAAATCGAATATCGCCACCACTACACTTCAGTAACAACTGGCACGACAAGGAAATATCGGGTTGTGATCGGGAGGAAACGAATCGTCCCCAAATCTCTCAAAAACTAAGCAGATTCTTACGTAAAACTGGTCCAAAACTTACTTCTATATTAACCGTTGACTACACTACATATGGACGATAAAACTATTCCACCACCGGAAGAAAATCCCAAAATTTCTTGAATAAAGTTGAACAGTCTAGGCGGGACTGACCGAGCGGTAGTAGATTTGGTGATTGTTTCACGAGTGTTCTTATCACCACAAAGTAGAACTTCTTGGACGTTAGGAGACGTTAAATGGTCGACACCCAGGTATTCATTCGAAGTCAAAGAGGACGGAGTCAAAAGTTTCTTCGTGGACCTCCTCAACAATANGGGTAGCTTGACGTTTCATAGAGGGTGCTCAAACATTTAGGGTTTCCCATGCGTGGGGAGTGTTGTAGAAGAAAATTCCACTGTAGCGCCCGGGACATTAATGGGAAACCCTAAATGTTTGAGCACCCTCTATGAAACGTCAAGCTACCCCACAGCACCCCCAAAATAAATCTCTGGCGCCGCCACTGAGCCTGACTATTTGTGTTGGGGGGGCCTGACTTTTTTTTTTTCTCCAAAGGGGGGGCCTGACCACTGGTGTAGAGTATATTTAGATACAAGTATCTGTGAATAAGTCTCAAATCACAAAGACTGTTCCTCCAATTTATTGTTGGGAATAAGAAATATGGGAAAATGTGTTCATTTCTTCTAATTATAATAATAATTGTATGAAAGAAAATGCCCTTTAACATCTCAGACCTCAGATGAAATTGTTTTTATCTGACAGTTTAAACTCAAAAGTACTAACAGATTTGTGAATCAGGGATTAGCAGCTGTTTGATTGTGTTTCTCTAACATTACTAAAATTATAAAATGTTTTACAATACATGTCCTGTTTATTGTTTCAGCCCAATATCTTTAATGATCTTCTGTCCTCTCATTGCAGGAAGAGTTTCCAGAGTCTGGAGCAGCTGTCTGCAGACATGAGTCTCTCTCAGATGTCTCTTGACCCGTCCCACACTCTGAGTCTGGAGGCCAGGCCCCCCGGCACACTGTGGCCCCACCAAGGTACGTCTCCCCCTGCAAGTAAACACTGGAGGGTGTCCACTCCGATGTGAGTATTGATTATGTGTATCTTGTGAACCAGGTAAAGAGGAAACCCCGTCTCTAAGAGGTCTGTGCGGCTCCCTGACGTCGGTTGCGAGCTACAAGTCTCTGGCCAGCCTGAAGTCCAGCGAGTGTTTGGCCAGTCCTGCGACGGAGATCAGCAGCCCGGGCTTCACTCCGTCATAATGAATGGAGAGATAAACACAAACACATCTCCAGACAATCCAGGAACTCTCTTCATTTAGGTCATGTAGATTTGTAGACATTTATTTTCTGTAAGTGGAGCCAAGCGCTTTAATAGAAATAAATCAGGTTTACAAGTGGAGAATCTGGTGTAGCATGTTCTCTGAATTGTGTTAAAAATGAAGTGCAGTTCAGTCGGACTCATGAAAGTCTTTAATATTAACGTAATATCCAGCGGAAATACCCTCTGACTCTTATTAGAGGATCTGCTGCCGTTACTTCATCGATCTGTGTTTGAATTATTAAGTTTAGTTTCTTTTTTTGTGGAACTTCAGTTTTTGTTTCCCTTTTTTAAAGGAAATAAATGAAAACAATAGCAGATGATGTAAGAATTGAAAGGTTTGCCGGAGTCACAGCATGCATATTCAGTATGAAAATACTGAATATAGATAAGAAAATACTGAAAGCCTCAGTCAATGTTGGCACTATGAAACATTTCCTGCAGTTAAAAGGGTATTTTATGTTCTGCTCCAGCTGTTTATTTAATAGTTTTTTTGGGCAAGTAATCTCTTTGATTTACAATGTATGTACTCTCACTTTTGTCAGATTACAATTTCAAAGTGTTGCTCTATGCTGTCTCACATTTCACGTCAGGTGTAAATACTTTTATTTTATCAGAGTTGCTTTGTCATTGTTGTACAAATTGCAGTCTCACAGGGGTTTTGTTCTCAGGTAATGATCCCTAAGATAATACTCACCCTTCACTTCTGGGTTTACTTTAAAGTCCAGCTTCATCAGACACAGAGACTTGTTTTATTCCCTTTGATTATCAAAATGTAGTATTTTGATCACTAGTTACAACAAATAGGTAATTCCTAAAACTCTATGTTAAGACCTTGTTAAAAAAATACTTTGCAACATATATTTCCGAGAATGAGAAATGAGTGAATCATCAGAACATTTCAATTTGTTTTGTTAGTGACTAACCGTATACCTCCACACTGAAATATCATTTCGCCTTTAGCTCGTTCCAGCAGTCATTTGCACAGACATGCAGCAGATGTTTTATTAGATTTATTTGCCTTTTCACTCTTCATTTTGAATAAACTGCCCTTACTCAAACAGTGAGATTGATGTCCATAATGAGTGAGGTGAACACGTTGCATAAAGTCAATGAATGAGAAATTCTAAAGAATGTCACGTACGTGTATTCGACATTTTAGACGTAACATTTTCAGAAAGTTTACATGATTCACAGTCTCTTCAAACTGAAAACAAACTCACAGCTTCAGAATGGTACCATTTGGCTTTCGTGTCTCACACGTATTCACAGGGAATTGGAGAAGAAGTGCAAGAACATGGAGATCTGTTCTCGGGGACAGGGGAGGATGCACTGACTGAGCGTGACACAGAGGAATCAGTTACATCACCAATAAATGACTTCAGGCACAGTGCGCTCGACCTTTAAAAAAAAATACAGATTAAAAACACTGGGGTGCCATCTGTTGGCAGTTCAATTCATCAAAAAGCATTTGATTTGAACACTGATGAAAACATTACTTCTTTTCATTTCCACACACAGGGTCTATCGCATCAAATCATAGAATAATACATTATAAATACTCATTCTAATAATTTAATAGAAATCTTCTTACTCAGAAAGGGTCAAGTAGTTCATAATTTTGTTCATTTACATTTCTACTTCCCCTCCCTCCAGAGGTAAACTCTAGCAGTAGTTCTGTTTGGTTTGTAGAGAAATGACAGGGAATATATCAAGCGTTCGTGTCCTGCAGTGGCCTGAGTGTCCTCTCCTCGTTGTGTTTGCGGAAAAAGGTTTTGCCGAACTCATAACTGCTGATCATGATGGCGCAGGCTGGAGCCACTTTGATCAACCTCGGGATGAAACCTGGCAGAGGGGCAACAGATCAGAGGAGCGGTTAGATGCCATGTGGTTAGACGTATCTGTAATCGTTGACAAAACATCACAGAAGTATCTACCTGCAAACAGTCCGCTAAACCCGCTCTGCGCCACAATCCTTCTCATCACGCTGAAGGTGGAGGAGGAGACCTGACATGACACTGAAGAGACAAAGATAACATCACCATCAAATGACACATTAACTGAAATATAAGACGGAGGATTTTATTTCAGTCAAATACAACGGCCTTTTTTGTCTGCCCCCATAGTCAGATAAACTCAAGGTTTTTCACTGCTAGTAACCTTGAGTATGAAAAAACGATTTATTCCACAAGGCCAGTCCTTCGTGCTGGTATACATCAGGCTCCTAACTAAAGCTTGACCCCCACAAAGGAAATGTAAGACCTGCACAGGAAGAACGATGCAATTTCAGTTTCAATACTGAGCCTTAAACCTATCTGCTGCACAAAGAGTCCTCAGATGGGCTTTTATATCCGTTGGGGTTTGATGTGATACTTACTTTGGACTTTGAACTACTCGTATATTTATTTAAATGTGTAAATTGATTGGGACTGAGGCTTTTTAATCAACAGATTGCGCATCGGCCCACTCACTGCCTCACACAGAGATCCAGTGCCGCTATCAAGGGGCAAGCCTCCCATTGTTTGCTTTATCTTCATTCAAATATCACATTTGTATTCTTAAAATAAGATTCTATTCTGCGCTCTTACCTATATCTCTCCCGCGTTTCATCCTAATTGCTGTTGACTTGTTTCCAGGGTCTTAATAAAGTTTTATTTTGTATTTTGTCTACTGAGAATGTATATATTTAAAGGAATCCAAGACAATGATAGGATGCACAATCTTTTCATGTGAGTTTAGACAAATGCAGAAGTACCACCCGGGCTTAAACCTATTCCTTGTTGGGAATCCACTGACATACAACATTTGCAAACTTTAGTAACATTTCATTATTATAAAAAGAAAAAGATTAATGCCATAATTACAATTCTTTGCTTGTAGCTCTCCCAGCTCCAGCTGCCTTCTCGTTTTGACGACATCAAAGGGTAAAGTCACAATGGACGCAATCTAAGAGAAATGGACAAATGTACAAATGATTAGATTTTGGTTTACTTATATTATATGATAGTTTATTATATTTGCTTTCTTTTTCCACAGGTTGAAAAGCAGATGCACTTACAGAGCCAGACATCGCTCCTGATACAAAGGTGATGGTAAGGGTGGGTTCTCTGGTGTGAGAGCGCTCACACAGCCAGCTCTTGCCCTTCTCGTAGTTGTACCAGTACATGGCTGAGAAGGGCACGTCTCGCAGGAGCGTGGGTCCCAAGCCTCTCCACAGAGACAGCCAGCCCTCTGACCGCACTGCAGAGCGGATGCAGTCAGTCAGCTCCCTGTATGACTGTTTCTGAGACTGCAGCTGCGTACGGATCAGCTCCAGAGGGCTGATCACTGTCGCCGAACCCACTGACACACACACAGAGGAAACAGGGAGGAGAAGATCAAAACACATCTTTTAAAAATCATACTGTTGCAGAGAAAAATGATTGAAATGCACTAGGTGAAAATGACATTATAGACTATGTTTCACCATGGTGGAGTATTTAGTATTTGAAAAGAGTAGTGCATGTCAATCTCAAGCAAATTGTATTCAACCTCATAAACTGCCCTTTTTAAAACCTGAGCCATTATTAAAAAGTCAGGGTCTAAATTAAAACCTAGAGTAATAAAATCTGTTACTTAAACTACTAGCATCATTTAAATACGGCAATAAGGTTACTATTCTGAAAGGGATTTCAGTAGATAATAGATGTGTTCCATTCTGTAAACACTAATTAAATGTAGATAATAATAATAATACATGTTATTTATACAGCGCTTTTCCTGATGGTCAAAGCGCTTTACAAGCAAGTAAATAAGAAAAATAACAACAAAAGTGCAAAGCTAGGTGGAATAGGGGCGAGGGGTTAGTGGATTAGGATTTGAATGCAAGAGTGAAAAGGTGAGTTTTGAGGGATGATCAGCAGTAATTCAGGGTTCATACACTTTTTCACAAATGATTTTCAATGACTTTTCCATGACCGTTACCTAATTTTCCATGACCGAAGAAATTACTCTTTCTCAGTGGTACCACTGACATTTTTTTATTTTGACATGGTAAGCTGGAAAATATGAAACATGTTGTCTAAAACAAATCAAATAAATTATATTTGATGCAACTTCGGTTACATTTCTGACTTTTCCAAAACTTTGGGAAAAATATTGTTTTCCATAACTTTTCCAGGGCCTGAAACTTGCATTTTCAATTTCCATGACTTTTCCAGGTTTTTAATGACCGTAGGAACCCTGGTAATTGATGATGAAGCTCTAAATAGAGGTGGTCCTGTTCTCTTGATGTGACAGCGGTTAGCTCACCTCTAGCGACCGCTCCTGCCAGGAGAGGAGCCTCCTGAGAGTAGTCTCCCATCCTGACCCGCAGTGCTGAACACAGCTGGTCGTAGCACGTGAAGTAGATCACGGTAGCTGGGACTGCCATAACACTGAAGAAAACATATATATCCACATATTATACTCAAGTGCTCCAATCAGGGAAAAATGCAGCTACAAAAACCACACCATAAATAAATTCACCAAGTGATTTATCAAAGAAAAATCCATTAACACTTTTCAGAAATCAATCTTTGGTAATCAGCCCTGAGAGACAACCTAGGTGGTTTGCCACTAATTGGTACAACTTCAAAAAACGAGAACACAAGACTTCACACTCACAGGGTTGGAGGTAGACCGCTCCATAAGGCCTTTGTTCCTTCATGGCGCACTATTTTGACGAAGGCATCCTACAGAGATGTACAGTGTGGAGTCAGTGAAAGAAGACAAACAAGCTATGGCACATGTCAAAGTAAGGCTACTAATGTTTTACTGTGGTAAAAAGTGAATGGTGACATGCATTGGCTATCTGAAATGTTTACCATTGTGCCATTGAAGTGACTGGGGGCTTTGTACCAGGCCTTAGTGTTTCCATTTTCACACACGCATATGTGGTCCATAAGTCCATTGCAGTAAACAAAGCTTTTCCCTGAAAGGTATTAACACAAGACAAACTCATGTCATATTTGAACCAGTACTATATTAAGCATAACACCAGAGCAACAAAGTACACATTCATTATACCTTTGGGGAAGGGATTTTTCTGAGCTTGCAGTCTGATCTTCACGACGTCCAAAGGAGTAACTGAAAAAATAAAGAAATTAACATGAACCTCCATGAATGAAATTAGGCACACAGGTTTTCTATGGATCCTACCACCACCTTTTGTGGACAAGAGTATTTAAACAACAGGATTTAAAAAGTAAAACACTCAAAAATGATAATAACTACTTGTTTTGAATGTAGGAAATGTACTAGTAACGCTGTCTTCAATACTGCAGTACTAATTTTACATACATTTTACAATAAATATAACTATTCCATCACTCAGATAAATTGTGCATTAGACGAGATGAAGCAAGCAAAGCCTCAACCTAGTTATTTGAAATAAAAAGTGTAGTATCTCACCAAACAGAGATGTGACGATGGCTCCGGAGCAGGACGCCACCATCTGCTGAAGAGGGGTAATGCCATTACTGGCTGCAGGACTTTGACGACTCATACTGTCTTCTTTAGAAACAACACAAAGATACAGTTTGACATTAGACGTATTTTAATATGTACATAGGCTTTAATTTATACTTTTCAAAATGAGTTAATGAGCAGCTACAGAAAGGTCAGCGACGGCGTTAGTACGTTATTACAAAACCATGCATGTGTCGTAACATTACATGAAAGCAGATCCCTAGATAACCAGAGTTAGCTAATCCATGTACAGTAGCTCACTTGTTAACTTTACCTGCTACAGCGTCTCTGCGTTAACGAAGCCTCCCATGTACAGACACACTACTCTCAGGCTATAAAAGAAAAAATAATAACTGTATGTGAGTTCAGGAGCTCTAACCTTAGCTAGCTGTTGAGGTTTACACAGAAAACATTGCATGATGATATTTCCTACGCAATAGGCATTTCAGCAGAGCACATTCTTGAACTTTGCATAATTACAAGTTACATTTGATGCAATAATGTATGTCCAGGTAATTACACATTCAGTGTATAAGATGTATTCGCAAATGAAAAAAATGAAAAAAATGTTGCTATAGATTTTTAAGGTATATATTATTTTTTTCAGTGATGTGGAAACATCACATTCAAACAGAAAGGATGCATTTACTTATTTCCGCCGTTGCCAGGTTTGACGAGTTTCCAAAAGAAACACAACTACTGAGTTTCTCGAAAGTATGGAAATTATGTTTCTTAAAGACAAGCAGATTATATTTAAGAATACTATCTGATTTAAATGTAATAGAAGAACATCTGTGAGTATTAAACTGAGAAATGTGTGATTCTGTGGTTACGTGACCGGAAACTGTCAGACATGGCAACACATACTTCCTCTACTTATGATTTAAAGCGGGAAAGAGATGTTTTGTAAACCGGTGATCTCAAAAGTTGACTGCAGCTGTATAAACAGTTGTTAAAGCTCCTGACAATGGATACCCTGCCTTAAACAAAAAACGCTAACACGTAATGTAACGTAAATTGAGCAGCTAACCGACGGAGCTGTCTTACCGCCGGGGAAACGTTATCGTTACACGGTAATCCTGAATTCAAAAATTAACGTTATCGTCAGTTAGTTTAGCGTACATTTCAATAGGAAGGGACCAAGGACGTGAGGTTAGCCTTAGTGTGCTCATACTTTATATTCAGACTGCCTTACTGTTTATTTTCTTCTTATGTTCTAAACAATGTCTTTGTTTACAAACAGGGACAAACATGGATTTTCTGGGGAATGTTTACTAAAGACAGGAGGGCAACAACAACTTTTGTTCTCAATGAGAGAGAACAACATGAAGTCGAAACACACCCACAGGCATCCAGAACCCAACTGGCAAGGTAATGTTTATTATTGTTATAACATTATTAATGTTATTTTTATTTATATTCTTGTATTATTATTATTCCAACCCACAATATGATTATTAAAATGTTAACACCACGAAACAGCCTTTTAATATTATATTACACTCTTAGTGGTGGAGGAAGTATTCTGATGTCAATGTGAAAGCTAGTGGTCAAATACATAGTTAATATGTAGTTAAATACAAATAACCACATTTTCCTCTGAGATGAAGTTTAGTAGAAGTGTATATATAGTTATCATCTGAGATCTATAAGGGACCTGTCTGTGTTCCTCTCATCTGTGAGTTTTCTGATTGCCTTTCAGGGAAAGGAGCCGGTAAAGCCTGTGAAAAGAGCCAAGCGAAGCCAACATGTGTGTCTTCTCCTGCTCCAGTCAAACCTTTTGCTGGGAAAGTGTTTTACCTGGACCTGCCTTCAAACAGAAAAGCAGAGAAATTGGAGGGTGACATCAAAGACCTGGGAGGGGTGAGACTAAACACATTTTTCAAATGATTTTATATTGGCTGTCAGGAAGGTTCAAACCTTTGTCAATTCTTCTGTGCTACATCACATAATGCTAGATTTCCTCCTCTCGGCTCAGCGGACTTTATCAGGCTTCATCTGATCAATAAAGTCTTGTCTAATCTGAATTCTGATAATGATGATTGCAAAAACACACTAGGGCTTGGTGTTGCTTGACATTCGTCAATATTATTAGCAACACAATGCCTGAGTTTTGGTTTTAATATGTGAGTAAATACAAATAATTAATTTTTTTATTTAAAAGACAAACTATTTAAATGTTGGCTGAATATAGACCGCAGTAAAATAACATTGTAAGTTAAATCAGGAAATATTTGATTAAGATAATAAATGTTATCTTTTTGACATTCACTGCCAGTTTGGCCAGTATTCGATGAACTGTACTGTGGAAAAATTGTGGTTATTATCGAAACAATTATTGAGGTTTTGGGACAAACCCTTTCAGTCACCATAAGCATAGTCGGTGTGTTGCATTTGTTAAAGAAGGTGGTATAAATGTCTTAGGGCTTTCCTCAACAACTGTGTTTCTCTCGTTTGTCCCTCAGACTGTTGAGAAGTTCTTCAGCAAAGAAATTAGGTATCTGGTGTCCAACAAGAGGGAGGCTAGATATGTGCACTGCCTCAGGAAGGACCCTCCGGTCCCCAGCCCGGGGTCCGGCCCCAGCTCCCCTCAGCCGGCACCACAGCAGCAGCAGCCAGCAGCCTGGGGACAACATGAAGAGCAAGTCTCAGGGCCAAACGGATTCTGTGAGTTCACCTTTGTTGTTCAACTATATAAACTATAGTGCAGATTTGTCGCCTATGTCACTTCTTACGGTTACAATTTATTTCTAAATAATTTGTTCATATTCTTTTCTTTTTGTCTTGCAGTTTATTCCGAGTCGAGGGAAGTCTTTGGTGGAGAGAGTGGTGAAAGAGCAGGTTTGTCAAGTCAACACTAGCGAGTTGAAGTGAAGAACTGTTTTCTGTGCTAATACACTTGTTTGTTTTTAGGAGAGGGTGAAAATGAACAAGATCCTGTCAAATGCTCTGGAGTGGGGTGTGAAAATTGTCTATATAGATGGTATGTTGTCTTAAATAATGGTAGATGTAATCTTTAATGTATTTATAATTCCAAAAATAAGTAATCGTGTTTTTTTTCTGCCACGCAGCTATAGTTGCATATATTCAGAAGAAGCAAAAGAATTGCAGCAGGCAGTGTCCGGCTACCACTGCTGCCAAGACAAGTGTGAGTGGACAGGTTACAATTCTTCAATGCATCCTTTGTTGAAATTGAATAACATTTTGGGATTGTTATTTTAAATGAAAAGTTTGGATTTAACCTTGTAGAATAATTGTAGCTTTTTCTGCAAATGTTATAGGTGAAAGCTGGCTCAGCAGCGAAGCAAGGCTTTCAGAAATGCAAAGGTACATTGAATTGACTCATTACCCCGTCCTCTTTAATGTTGTCCATTGTTTTAATTGCTTTGTAAATGCATGCTTGAATTTACTTTGACTATCAACATGTCTGTTCCAGCGGGGCGGATCAGTAAACCCTTCGTCAAGGTCGAGGATTCAAGCAGGTAAAGAGACAGTTTATAAAAAGATGCTTGTTTGCCCCTCCTTTCTGAGGGTTGTTTACATCTGACTAAAATATTTATTTTTACCTCCTCAGGCATTACCGTCCAATCAGCCTCACTATGCCGAACATGCCGGTCTTCAACTTGAAGACTCTTCCTCCCTGTAGTCCCTTCTTTGTCCACGACAAGGTGAATCCTGGGATTAAACAGCCGGGACACAGGTACGGTGTTCCCTCTCTGCGTGGCTCTCCGCTGATCTCAGCATAGTGGGTCAAGCTGTCACATGAATACATTTAAAACCACATTTGAACCACTGAAACTAGCAAATTCCACCAAAGATTACCCTTAAGGATCTTCAAAGGTATTTTAACTAACTTACTTTTTAACTCGGTTCCTTCTGTATTTTTCAGTCATCTCTATACTATTTAAAGCACTGTTAATACAAATAACTGATGTTCTGTTAGGGACGCCTGTTCTCAAATACTTGTGTTGTCGTGCAGGTTTTAATTCATATTGTGTGGTGAAGCCAAACTATCAATTTTGATGAAATATAACTCATCACACTTGTAAAAGAAGTTGCACAGAAGTTTTAGTTGGCACTGCTGGAGCCACTCTTCAAGCCCGAATGACATTTGATCAAAATGCAGAGATCCAAACTGTTTTTTTCCTGATGTTTGGTTTTATTTGTGCAACCTCTGGGAACAGAGGTGTGAAAGCCTCGGCCAGCGAGGAGCGAGCAAACGTCCGAAAGAAGAACAGAGACAAGAAGCGAGGCGGTTACTGCGAGTGCTGCCTGATAAAATATGAGAACGTCTCAATGGTAAGTTATTTTGGTAAAAAACGTTCAATGCAATACAATTGTAATACATTAATGTAGGGATATTCAATTGGCGGCCCGCGGGCGAAATCGGGCCCCGGGGTGATATTTACTGGCCCTTTGAGTATAATGTTAAAAAGTAATCTACTTTTTTTTTTTTGTGGGCCAGAGTGCCTTTATTCCAGAGAGGTTGTTAAATTGAGAGATCATGGGAAAGACATTGCCTGAAAACTTCTGCGGGCTCGGGTTTCGAACCCACNATATTTAATACTTTTGGGTTTTAAAGTGTTGTTGTAAATCAATCAATCAATAAATAAATAAATCAATCAATCAATCAATCAATCAATCAATCAATCAATCAATCAATCAATCAA